AGTTTTCTATAGGCTCCACTATTTTACCAAAAATATAAATATATAAATATACAAATATATAAATATATATATATGTATATATGTTTGTGTGTATATATATATATAGGCCATGCTTATTTTTATATAGATGTATATAAACAGGCATGCCTTATGAGCAAGCCCCACAGCAATGCATGCTTTCTGTTTTTAGAGTAGAGTATTCATCTTAGACTTCTTAACATTGCATTCAGTTCTTCATCTGCTTCTTACTTTGCTGCGTCCAATATCATGAATTAGTTGGTCTGGTGTTAACATGAGTAATTGAGAGCAGAGGTCATATTTTTTATTATAGTCACCACAAAACAGGAGAACTAATATCACTATTCCACTGTAAACACTTCGTGGTGGTTTATTACCTACCTTTACTTTTTTCAACCCTTCACAAGTCTCACTTTGGGCACAGGACATCAAGGATTCTTCCACTTTTGTCAGCCACGTTGTTCTGTCACTAATAAATTTCTCCACTTGTGTACTTCGAGTCGTGAAATCTTTCAAGGTCCCTTTTGCTTCTTCAGTTATTTCTTTGGCATGCTCCAGTTTCTGCCTTAAGTCTGCTTCTATAAACTAAACAGAAAGCAAGAGTTCCTTAAAATTTGTGAAAGCCAGAAGAACACTCATTCAGTAGGAATTGTGTTTATGTGCAGCTTAATTGTCAAAAACACATCAGCCTCACCATGGAACCCAGCTCGAATGCTCCTACGCCTTTTCCAAGAAGGAAAATAAGCGAGTACAAGCTGCCAAACATGAAGTGATGGGAAAATGGCAAGAGTAAGGATTGCTATTAACATTGGGTATTAAAGTGGCAGTTCCAGGAAATATGTGAGATCACATTCTGAAAGCTGCCCTGGACCCACATGGAATTACCAAGGAGGTGACCAAAAACCTGCTCTTAATTCTCCCTGAAAACACTCACACATTTTCTGCCCAGATGTAACCACAATTGGGACAAACACCACTATGGGATTTTATCATAAAGCAATTTTATGTCTGTCTCCTACTGTCCCTTTAAAATATTCAATGGGTTCTTTTCTCCTTCCAGAATGATACATTTCAGGAGGATTGACGTCTCTGACCCCCGAGTTAAGAAAAGGACGAACAGTCACTATAAATTGCAAAACAGTCTCAATTCCACAATTCAAACATCCACGTCTATTTGGTAATCAAAACTTCAAACTTAAAATTGAGAATTAAAAAAAAAAAATTGAGGATTTTTTTCTTAACCCTAGCTCAGATCTGTTGCAAGCAGGAAGCCCCCAGTGAAAAGGGGGTCAAGTGCCTCTTCTTCTCTGTCTTTGCTTTATTTTTATTCCCCCTCTTTGCCCAACGTCTGACCCCTGCAGGTGTGGGCCAGGAGGAGGTGAGCGAGGGGCTCTGTACCTCCTGACGACCGCTGTGAGCTGGCGTCTGTGCTCTCCAGGCCAGGCAAGGTGGAACATTCACTCCTCTCTCATGGCCTCAGTCTGTGCATTTTTCTGAGATGTCCCACGTGGCTGGGACCTCACACTGAGGTCCCCAGATGCATTAATGCACTCTTCTCTAGCTCTTGACTTTCTTCTCCACAGCCTGGAGGTACTTCTTTAACTCTTGGCTGCTGAGGGCTGGCCGTCCTGCAGGGAGCCTCTCAGACCAGGTGAGATATCCTCGCATGGTGTTCCCTTCCTTCCCTCCCTCTCATGACTCCCTTCCGGGCCACAGGTCACACTCCAGCACTGACCCCCAACTAACTCTGAGATGAAGGCCACCCCAAACATGAATTTCTTTTTTGGCAAATGCATCAGCAGTTAAACAGCCTGTCTGTCCCCTTGAGGATTCTCAGGGGATGGAGGCTATACTTCTGTGTCTGCCAGATGCAGGGGACAAATATCCTGTCCTCCAGGTGGTGCCAATGAAACCCTTCTGCCTGGGCTTGAGGCACGCCCACACCTCTTCCTTGAGTATGCATAGAAGCGTGTGTGTCTCATGTGAGAGACAGAAAGAGAAAGAGAGAGAGAGAGAGAGAGAGAGACACCCACACCTCTTCCTTGAGTATGCATAGAAGCGTGTGTGTCTCATGTGAGAGACAGAAAGAGAGAGAGAGAGAGAGAGAGACCAGAGTACAACAGCAGCTCTCTCTCACAGTCCTGCCTTAATCTCCACTCTGCAATATCTGTTGCCCATGGATGTCCCCAACATAGGTGACATGCATAAGCACTCCTCTCTAGTGTAGTCTATGAATAGCACCCCCTTCACCTCTTCATGCTTCAGGCGAAACTTGCAATGTTCCCGTGCATGTATATCCTCCACCAATGGCACTGACTGATGGATACA